GACGACGTAAGCTTAGCACGTTTTCATCGGAATCGAAAGAGATTGCCTCGGAAACAGCGTCAACAAGAATATTCCAATAAAGCCAATCGACAGCTGGTCAAGAGAAATCGGCCGCTGTCTTCCGGTGGGATCGGCCTTCGAAGCTCCACTTCCACTCTAGATGGAAGTAACCTCAACAATTAATGTGAATAATTTTAAAATGAGGCGAACTTGTTAAGGCAATCAACTTATGAGCTAGTAAAATCCCAAAAATTAAAAAAATAAACAAATGATAAACTAAATATTGAAGGCATCAAGGCATTAAATGATCACACCGTTAGGTCAACAATGCCTTTAATCATTTTTAGTTAAATCAGCAATTAATTGACATAATTTAACAAGTAAATAAAAATTTTTTTAACTATTTTCAAAGTAATTACCTTAATTATTATGAATAAATAGGCAGACTGTATGGATCAAGGCCATTATAACTGAGCTTACATGTTTAAGCTTGTGTAAATTGCGCTTATTTTTATGTCTAATTTACAGTAATTATGCCCAGACCAGCTACACCGTCGCCGGTCTCGTTAGCAGCAATAGGTAAGCCAAGTTGAGGTACGAAACAGGCGGGTGGCCGGAGACAGTTGGAATTGCACAAAATATTTTTCTACTATTTGGGCAATCGACGAGAGGGAGACCGGCTGCCTCGACCAGAAATTTGAACGCCCCATCTTCTCGCCGTTCAGCAAATCGCAGCTCCAGTTTCAGGTCAAGGAAGTGCTAATTTTGTGAATAGTCAGTAAATCATGCAGTTTTCTAATTTACTCCCGCTTCCCTGTGCCATGGCAGACGAGCCGGTGGAGAGCAGTCGCAAAGCGTTGACGGAAAGGCCATAACCGGTGAGGGAATTTGCAGAGGCTGACAGCCAAAACGGCGGTTTCATGTCCCCGTCTGAGCCGCGGTAGGGCTCGAACCGAGGCTCAGCGGCAAGGATCGTCGGATCCTTCAAGCGGGAGGCCGTCGAGAAGCAGCAGAAGACCGTTTTACCGGTGACAAGGGGGCGAATGGACGAAGCAGAGGTCCGCAGATGCGTACAGAGGATATCTGATAACGGCGCTTCTTCCCAACACCAGCAGTCTGTTTCCATGGCGGCAAAGTTCTAGCCCCCATGAGTCACACAAAGCGATGAAGGACCGATAGTTGTCGTTACCCACAATCGTATGAGTAGGCCTCAGGTTTCCAGTGAATTTGTAGCTTAGCCTTGACTACCGAAAAGTATTCTTCCACTCATTCTATCCACTTTATTGAAAAACTTCTATTTTGGATGCTGGAGTAATTTCCATTTGGTTTGAAGAGGCGAGTGGAGGAGATCCGTAAGTTGGCCTCATCGGAGTCTGTAGCGGGATTGCCTCGAAGCTGAGACTGTAGATTTGTGCGAATAGATCATCGGCGCACCACCCTGTCACCCTAATGCATCCTTCATGAGCTTTCGTTCGTCATAGGAGGGACATGATCAGAACAGAACCCAACGCTTAACGACGGTTCACGAAAACACAAAGTCAAGATAGGTTTTCAAATCTTAATCTATCTCCAACCTTTTGTTTGTAACATTGGTTAGAGAGAAAAATGAGATATATGAGTTGTGTTCAGCCTATTTCGTTCAAGGACATGAGGGGTTGGTAGTTGAATATTCCCACAATGCTATGAATAGATCTGACTTTTCCTGTAAATTTTGCATAGCCTTGCTTTCCTAAAAGGTGTTCTCATCCAGGATGGACTGCAATTTTGATCCCGACTAGGTCGAACCATGGCAATGCAGTGTGTAATCTCAACACGTTGGCCACTACGCCGCATTGCCACGAGTGCCTTTGGGGTCCATATCACATTCTGTATTGGGATTGTCGATGACGGGCACTTATATTTGCTATAGCAATCGACGGCATCAATTTTTTAGTCGAGATCGAAATTGCGGCCCACTCTGCATGAGAACATCTTTTTGAGAAAGAGGGCTATGTGAATTTCAATGGAAAATTCAGATCTACTCATAGTTCTTCATCTTTTTAAACGAAAGAGTGTGAACACCATTCATATATGTGAAAAACCTACTCACTAACGACAACAATTACAGTTAAACCACCACATGATGTAGTCCTACAGAGAACTCTATCAAATATTATCAGCTTTTTTTGTTGTCCAGCCAAGTTAAAATGGGTTAGTCATTATTACCTCACAATAGATCATTTAGAATATTTCCGGTAGTAGATGGAGACGAGAATACCTCTCGGGCAGCAAGGCTGAGTCAAATTCGCTGGAAAAGTTGCGCCTTATTATATCATTGAATGACTATTTGTTTATGTTGATGAAGAACTGGTAGTTGAATTTTCACACAATCAAATGAATAGACTTTATGTTTCCGTTGAATTTACCTTAGCCTTGTTTCCAGAAGATATTCCCGAATAGGCTGGAGTGGAGTGCAGTTTCGGAATCGCCTGAATTATTCGCATCAGCAACCCCAGAAAGACTCGGACCGTGATAATGCAGCGTATAATCCCGACTATGCCACACTGCCACGAGCGCCCATGGGTCACAGAGCAGATGTGAATTTCAAAAAGGGCCAGGCATTTTCCCATATCACATTCTTCGGTTGGATTGTCGATGAAGTAAGTTGTATGAATATCTATCCTATTTAGCGGTAGTCTCGAAAGCCCACCTACAAACGACAAATCAAAATGTTATCCAAACTATTCTGATGGCCTCGAAACTGCTCATTTTCGATAATGGTGTTTATCGAGGCCATCAGTATTTATTGAATAAGAGCTTATTCAGCCTATTGCGCTCAAATTGATATAAAAACGGATAGTCGAGTTCTCCCGATATGTAATGAATACGACTCACGATGACATCAAATCACATTTGGGGTATAGTGGCTGATGATACCGAAGTGGGGTAGAAACCACCGTTAGGCATTATCAAGTGAAAATCATTGGCCTCGTGAGGCCTACTCATCTGATTATGAGAAAGCTCGACCATCAGTCGTTATATCACCGTAGAAAACCTAGGCTGACCATGAATATATGTTTCTTGAGGGTTGAGGTCATCTGCCCACTAATGGGAAGTCTTGCCAATTCCATTGTCAAGAGTTTGAGGTCCAAGTTTATGTTCAACTCACTAGAGTATAATATTGCACCAATTGCAGTTAACAAGAGAGCATTGGAGAGACGGGAAGAACGAAATCAGCACTCGGCCGAATCGAGAACACCGAACAATCTGGGATAGCCGACCAACGACATTATTTTTCGTATACAAGTAGAGTTTCGAGACTATAATACCTCATACCACCACACTATTGACTGGACTGCAACTAATGGTGAGAATACAAGAATACGGAAGATCAATTGATGTCCTTATTGTTTAGGCAAATTTGGAGAGACTCAAATCTCAACAGGAACAGTAAAAAGGAGAGGCCTAGATCGAGAAAATTACCAGAACAGACATGGCCAGGGCGGGGATCTCGAGAGACAAATTGAAACAAAGAGAAGGCGACTGCAACGAGAAGAGTCAAATCAATCTATACGCAAATTAAATGAATGTATATTGAATGAATGTATGATAATATATAATAGAAGATACTAATGAATATAGCAATAAAGGATCATAAACGTCTGATTAGTTCACCGTTAAGGACGCTAAGTGCTGAATTTAGGTCTATTTCAACCCCAATTAGGTATTGGAGCGGAGATTATGAGCACAAAATCATTCGATCTCAGATCATGAATGAAGTTTGTGTGTCTGTGCGCATGTGTGTGTATGTGTGTGTGGTCAAGGGTGGCTCATTGCATGCTAAATAAGAGCATTTAGTGAGAGATAAGCACATGCAGGACTGAATATCTCGTCTGGATTAGGTGGGACTGATAACGTGGGAGGGAAAGAGGAGGGCGTTTTACTTGACTCATAAGTGGACACTTGAAGCGCTATTAATCCATACTATTGGTTGCACATGAGGCCAGATACAGGACCCCAGAGAATGGGACAAAATTAGGTTAAGGTGGGGAACAAGATAACTGGGAATAGGGTTTATGAAGCCTTGCCGTCTTGGCTATAATTATCGCAACTCCTCAATCATACGCATATATATACACATACATATATATATATATATATATCACATTTTTTGGGTAGTCATGTAAGTAAATCCTGTTAAGCAGGGCTGAAATCGAGGGTTTATAGACAGCCAATTAGACAAGTTGGTGTTCTTCATGTGCAAAAAAGAACCGTTGGTATGTTGTCGGGAGCAGATGGCTAAGTTGAAGCACTGATTGGGTTCCAAAGACACTGGGAATTGCGTTTGGGAGTGGTAGCAAAAGTTATTACCCTTCACTAAATCCACGTTCTCAGGCAACGTTGGGAGAAACAGACACAGATAGGTATAGATAGGTACATTGTCCCTGCAATTCAACGATATTCGTTTTGGGAAATTACGCTTTCACGTAGGGCTGTTCCTAGGTTTTTTATTATTGATAGGCCAAATTTGCTAAACAGAACTAAGCGAGTAGCCCTTCAGAGGGCATCCCAGGATTTAGTTCACATTATGGCCCAAGTAAACATTACACTATTACACTCCTTGATGAAGAAGAAGACCAGTCTACCCCAATCATTGGGAGGCACTCTTAGCTCGGAAGCTTTCTCTAAATTACAAACAATGGCGTACAGGTTGTAAAGTATTGTTTTTCCACAGGTTAGATACAGACATGATAAGAAACTTAGGAGTTTGGGTATATGAATCAAGACAAAGGCCAATCAAAATAGATCTATGAGAGACAAAAGTGAGCAAAGGATAGTTTGGCAGAAAGGGGTAAATCTCTCCAAAACAGCCTTGGACTTTAACACCGAGGGAGTGCTCTGGAAAGGTTTCAACTTTGCTTTGCCAAACAGTAAGGATAATAGAAAGGAGATTCTGGTGGAACTCATAAGTGTTACCGACCATCTTACAGAAGAGACAATGAGTGATATTGAATTTCAAGTGGTTGCTTTAATTGATAACCATGTAGAAATAACACCCAGGAATAAGAGAAGGAAAATCATTAAAAGGAAACTGGACGATGAGGACCGAATTGTGTTGAGAGCAGACAAAGGAGGAACAGTGGTAGTTATGGCTAGGTTGAGTTATGAAGAAAAAGATGCAGGCTTTGGATGAAGCTACCACATACAAGGTAATCAGTAGGGACCCTACGGAAACCCTTAAGTCTAGACTCAGGGGTTACCTGCAGCATTATTTAACAAACGGGGAACTGAAGAAGTGGAAGATAACACGCTTCTTCAACGAGATGCTAGGCCTTCAAAAGCATATTGTCCGCCCAAAATACATACAAATGGAGTCGCACTTATAATTATTATTAATAATAAGCGAAGCGTAATGCATAAAACATCACGATTTATTTGTAAGGAGGAGATAGAAAGTGGGGATTTGCTGGTAAGTTTTGATGCGAAGTCTCAGAACACTAACATTCCTGTAGATGATGCCATACAGACCCTGCATTTCACACTAGACAAACATGCGAAGATTTTAATGAGTACGAGATTGAGTAAAGAGTCAATAATGATACTGACCAACCTAGCGATGTAGCGTAAATATTTAGCCTTAAATGGTAAACTGTACGAACAAACACGAGATTTAGCGATGAGATCGTGTTTGTCACCAAGTTTCGCAAACAATTAAATGGATCAATTTGAGGAACGTATAATTCAGGAGGCACTTTTAGTTACTAACCTATTAGTTTGCTACATAGACGAATACTTTGCTATTTGGCAGCATGGGAAAGAAAATATTAAA